TAGTCATATGTATTTCCAACAAAATCTACGTGGAAGAGTATCGTTCAAAAATTAGTGAGTGAGTACGCCCAACAAAATAGTTGCAGTGCTACTTATGTGCTCGACTCTTGTTGGAGGAGACTCAAACCAGTGTGAAAGTTTGTTTTGGTTCTGCCCTATAATCCATATCTATTGCATTGTGCTACATCTACTGTACTTGGGTACATTTTTGTTTTATTCTTCACCTCATCAATTACATAAGCTAGGAACGATGTCTGGTGACAATCTTTAGTTTAAATCCAGCTTGGAATCTTGATCAGTCTTTAATGTCATTTAGGAAATGTGTATTGAAATTTATCCTAGTAACATTAAGTAAAATACGTCTAGTTCCGGAGTTCTAAGCCCTTCCTAACATTCCATTTTGGTCCATGGATACCAGAGCTCAAGCCTACACAAAAATAAAATATGTAGCATGTGTTTAAAGGGACAGCTACGCAATATCTGGGCGTTTGATTTGAGTCCTGAATATATGTAAATAGTCCTCAAAGACTAGCAATGTACGAAGATTGCATAATTCCCTCAAAAGTATCTCAAACTAGGAATTTCTATTTCTATAGATGTCTTTTCTATGTATGGCAGTGTCTCAAGAAAAGACGACTCGTCTTTTTAACTTGCAAACGCAGATAATTCTGGACATACATGAATTTGAAGGCTCAAAATTCTACGGTGAGGTGTAAACAATGTTACTGATTAGCATAGTTAATAAGAATTCCCCTATCTCTATTGGTAAAAGAAAAATTGCGGAATTGTCTCTTTAACTGAAAGCTTTCCATCATTAATACTCCCAAGCACACTTGTTTAACCAAACGTTACGAACTCATCTCAAATTGTAGACATGAGAATAAATTCTACTTGTCCCACTTCAGTTGGCTGACGCAGGCTGAAAATAGGTCAGTTGTCTGAAGATCGCATAGTGTGAAACTCTGTGTAACTACAATTTGTTTTTTTAGGTTCCGTTTTAATATTTCTATATCTCTTTACAATTGATGTATTGAGCACTATTTTAACAGTGAAAATATTTTATTATCGTACTTGTATATTATATATATATATCTTTTCCATACAATGAATTATTATTTGTTAAACCATTATTTAACCATCTATTTCTTTATGCATTTTCCATCCTTATACTATTCTACATGTTTGCAAAATTTGGAGGAAAGAATGTTATAGATTAATTATACACAATTTTATGGTATACTACTCCTTAGTTATAATACACACTACGTTTCAACAATCTACATTGTCATCTTCAGGTCAGGTTTCTTCACCTGAAGATGACAATGTAGATTGTAGATTGATCTCTACCCCTAAATGTTGCTAAAGGATTAATGTTATAGATATGTACCAAACGAAATCCATTTGAAGTTTCACACTGTAGGCGAGTCTTCACTTGCTAACAGATAGAAAGAAATTATCAGGCAGAAAAATGGTCTATTGCCCCAACAATTAATAATCATGTTATAAAATGGCCCACCAGTCTCATATGATTGCAAATCTTTTCAAATTTCGGTTGGCACAAAGCAAATGACGAACCAGAATTTAATTCGGATTTTTCTTACCATTATTTTTGGTTAAAAATATAGTGGAATTATTCTTGTAGACTATCATATTGATCACGATTTTTTTTTGCTATCTCAATTACTGGTAGGTACTGAACGGAACAACAAAGGGCGTTATGCCTGGTGGTATGGTGGTTCGCTCTTGCTGTTACATATTGATTGTCTCAATCCAGTGGCTTGATAAAATATCATATCTTCATTTTCTGGCTTCTATTTCTATGAGCTCAATGGGCTCCAATGGGGTAAGATCATGAGTTAATGGTTCCAAAGGATAAGATTAACATCTCTGACTCGAAAAGCAAGTGCGTAAATTTTTCTTCGTTTCTCGTTTTGTTTGGGTCTTTCTTCTATGTAAATTGCATATTAAATAAACACCCGCTACGTGCCCCTGGATCGAGGACATTTTCTTTACTATTTACTCGAAATAATTTGATATAAAGCGGCAAATGTTACATCTACTTGACAAACATGAACCATTCCTTAACCCTAAAGACATTCCGGTACAAAGTCTGTTCCCAATTACCACCTCCGCTAACGTGATATTTTTTATTAATCGTAAATTCCCTTCGAATTCAGTTGCTAGATTCAGTTTCGTGAAAACACTCCCACTAGCTTTGTTGATATCAGTAGATCTTGTTCAAACGTGATGAAATCGTAAAACTTGATTATCGCAGAAAGGATATGCCTTGAGTGAAATGAGTTCTTGAACAAAAGTTGATCAGTTTCTTTGACATACACATTGAAATATTCAGTATATTGATATCCACTATGGAAGACAGTAGTCTGGGTGTAATTTTCAGCCTCGTGGAAGGGAACTCATATTACAGTACACATATAGAAACAGCTTAAGTCTCTGTGAGGTTTTATCCCTCCCTTTTAGACGAGATAAAATGCCTGTTCGGATGTTTCACCCACTGAATCGAATTGCTAGAAGGAAGCAACTGTGTATGAGACACCTTACAGAGGCCCAGTATACCACAGTCTGTACGTACAGACGTTTCCCGTTAGTTTTCAATGAAAAATCCCGTTAGTTTTCAATGAAAAATCCCGTTAGTTTTCAATGAAAAAAAAAACAGGGTACGTATTCTGGAAACTATCTTAGGATGTCCCAGGTTCTTATCTTTTAACATTGATTTTAGGACATCCTGGCGCTAAGATCGTTTCGAGAATACGTGGACAAGCTAATGCGGCTGTCACTGTTCCATTTTCTCTATTTTCGGGAGAAGAGACACACTTACTATATTACCAATTGACAGAAATCTGCAGTTTTGGTGGTGGAGAAAAGTGGAGTAATATTTTGGCGAAATAAATTAGATAACTTAATCATAGTATATATATATATATATTTATTTTGTTTTCTATAAATATGTATTTTTATGTGAAATATAAACATTTTCTATAAAAAATAACCAGCCGATTTTTAAATCGGAAAATATTTAACATTAACATTTTATATTGACACAATGATATATCTTTTGATTTATAACAATTATTTACAAAGATTCAACAATATATACTTAATGATCTTTCTCTTTCTGATCAAAATTGTTATTCCTTATGATAATCATGCTTTGTTCCTTAAGAGATCTGATTACAAATGATTATGAATCTAAGAAGTGATATTATCATTAATGATTTGGTGCATTATTCTCTTGTGATTATACAGAGGCATAATCATTCGCATTTGACTTATTTCAGATCAAGTCCTGTGAAATGAAAAAAATTGGCATATTTTTTAAACCAAAACATTCTGATAATTGGAACATGAGCCAATCTTTTTGAAAAGAATTTGTTAAATACATTACTATTTTAACACATTTTTGACCCTTGCGGAGTTTGCCAATATTCTGTACATTCAGTTAAAACTAGCAAAACAGTTCAGTAGCACAATAGTAAAAAAAGAGGAAGTTTTACATGCATGGCACATATCCATATTGACTTCAACATAACATGCCAATCTTTTCATGGCTGAAAAAAATTGGGCAACATTCAACTAAAAGCGGATAATATATTTGGCTCTAAAATGATAGGTTTGAGTATAATATAGATATGAAATCTCCAATAGGAGATACTTAAATCACTCGAGAAACCTCGAGACTCATTAGACGTCAATCCTGCGCAGTGAGAGAAAAGAGATTCATGCCTTATTAGCCATGCAAAATATTTAAACAAATAATAGTTTGGTTCAAAGCTCTGGTACATCAGTGAATTTGGTAATCGATGCAAACTGGGAATTAAAATTAATATTAACAAGAAACTGTAACTTACTTCAACAATAGGATATCTTTGTAGTTTTAATTTTGTATTTGCCATTATTTCGTTGCCAATGTAATTCACTGATGCCCTTGAATGGGATTGTAAGGGGATTTTGAAATAAAGCTAAATAAAGGCCAAAGAATATACACAAAGAAAACAAAAAAAGTAAGAAGGGATGAAAATTGAATTTTCATTCTAAATGCAATACTCTGTAGTCTTTTTCCCTAAATATAGTCTTTCCCCCTTTCACATTCCAAGCATTTGTCTAACTCGATCCTATATAACAATATCCAAATAGTTTTAGGTCCTTAAGCACAAACTAATAGTACTATTTTATTGTATGATTATAATGTCATCGTACCCAGCAAATAACGTCTGCTAATAGTTTGCGATGCATTACTTCACAACCATAACAATGATGACTGATTTAAGTGCATCAATATTCAAAAGTAATGAAGGACATTTCTGGCAAAGTTTCCATCTAAGTCACATAATCTATCAAAAATGTGGCTGTTCAACCACTTACTCTCTCATACGCAGAATTGGACCACTCACCATTACTTGGTGAATTGTAAGTTTAAATTTTAAATAAACATATAAATAGACATATAAAAAAAACATCACAAATATTTGACGAAATTGTTGACTGCTGCATTTTGCCTCAAATTGATGGCATGCCACAAGCACAACAAATTACATCAAATAATTTGGAAGTGGAATGATTTCTGTTTGATCAGTGAAGTATGTAGATGAATAAATAAGGAATGAATCATCGTAAGTATGTGGAATGAAGTCATGGAATTTGCTGAAAATGATGATCTGTCGTTTATGTACGATTTCTTGTTGCATGTTTTTGACATAGTAACAACAAGAAATCTTACAAAAATAGACAATTTCGATTGTTCTTTATGGCATACACATATCCGATTCTGTTTTAAAAATCTTCCACACAAGCTTCTAATGATCACAATGGTAAACATTCATAGCCAACTTCAGACAATACCATATAGCACTCTGAACCAAACATACAGAACACATCTGAATGGCCTTGACTATGACCAATCATGGGTAGTGTACAATTCGATGTAATTATGGTAACTATGGAAGAAATCTTCTCAAAAATGAAGGAAGAGATTAAGTTTTCTACTCTTGCCATCCGTGTGCTTTGGGACCAAACTTGAAACATAACTTCTTTGGGAATTTTCCATCCTTTGGAATTGACTCGAAGTAACCAGCAGTGCGGCAAAATCTGAAACAAAGAAGCAAAATTATATACAAATATCAGTACCTTAAGCTTTTAATTTTGTTGACAGAGACGAACTTGCTGCCCTTTTACCCATATCATTAGTATCATTAAAGAAAAGGTGACTTATACGTAATGTAATTAATTAATTAACTTTCGACTAGATGTCAAGTAAATCTTATAAGTTGATTGATTTGAAGTTTGTGTCCTAGAGGCAAACACACCTTTGATGAACATATAGAAGTATGTATCGACAAGCAACGCAACGTCTACAAAACAGCAGAAAAAATTTTCCAATTAATCCAGTCCTTAGTCGATAGATGGACGAAACTTCCAGTCCGATAAAGAAGTACATAAAAGAAAGCCTCATGGCCCGACTCAGCTTTTCGTAAGTCATTTGTTTGTTGTTTTTCTTCTTTCCCCATAATCTCGCTATGGCTTCCGAGTTGACAAATCGGAACACTCCAGTAGATTTGTCCTCCCATTTTAAATATGATGGATTAACAGAACTGTCTTTGAGTAAATCTCTAACAAACTCCCATAAATGATTTCCCTTTGAACCTAGAAACCAATGTAAAACGATGTGATATAGTTTGCTGCCAAAATATTGATTGAATTGTGAGAATTATTGCAAATAAAACCGATTGACTTTGTTTATCATCCACATAGAAAACGCAAACTTGTGCAAAATGACATCAAAATCTTTGCATTACTCGTGGAGCTGAGATTTGCTACTTGAAATAAAAAAAAACTATAAGTTAATTAAATTCATGTCTTGACATTTTTACACATAAAAAAAAGATGGTTTAGTGGTACCAGTAGTAATGAACTAAAGGATTACTCACCTCCAGATCTTGGGGTCTTAGGTTTAGTTTGCTTTGATCTTGAATCAGCCGGTTCACAGTTCATGACATCACCTTCATCAGACGATAAGCTACCACCAGGAAGGCGTCGTTTATTGTACATATTAGAAGTTGAGCAATGAGACATAGAAATTGGCATCATGTTGGTGTCTTCATCTGTACCGGACCAGTCATAAGGGTTACTGCTTGGTACAGAATGCCATTCATACTCTATTTCAGATCCTAACAAAACAAATTTCACAATTCAGACCAAAACAACATAAACCAGTTTAAAACACAATAAAATAGAAAACATTTATGAACAGGAAAATGCAACAGCCACTTGAAATTAAACACACAAGTACATTAACAAATAACAAATAGAAAACATTGATACAGGAAGAACAAGGTAAAAGCAGGCATCATGGTAATATCTGTTAGTGTCATACTAGTCTACGAATGTTGACTTGGACTTATTGAAAGCTAGGCCGACTTACCGCCACTAACGTAGCCGTGATCAATTTTCTCGGTTTCAGGGAACATGTTCATTTTAGATTCAACATCAATATCGTACAAATGACCACCAATAAGCACAGAAAAATCAAGAAGATCAGCTGCAAAATAATTGAAAATAAAACTAAAATAAACCCCAAATAACGCCAATATAAATTAAAATGAAATAAATATATAGGGTTACTAAAACTATAAGTAACATGCAAGGTAGAAAATAGAGGAAAAAGAAAATAATGAAAAAAGTGCAGAATACAAGCAGATATTGATGTTGAACAATACTAACAATGTGCACTAATAACAAATCTATCAGACATGATATCCGTCATATCCATGATATCAAAATTAGGTTGAACACTCAAAAGGGTAACAAATATAAGCAAACACTAAATATAGATGATAACACGAGCTCAAACTGATGACAAATATGCTATTTATGGTTAGACAAGCAGATTTATACAAATAATTTTAATAATTGCCAAGTAGGACCCACCTACTTATAATTAATGATCAAATGAGATTGGTCAAATCTATTGAATTATGATCAGCTAAACCAATCAGATTAACACCTAAAACTGTTAATTTTATTACTGGCAGAGTGACAGGTAAAGAGGCTCAAGGGTATATGGCGGACGTGAGAAATATTGCTCTTACCATTAGGTGGAGCCTCAGGCTCATATTGATAGCTCATATCGTTTACGTGTGGACTTTGGTTTGCCGAGCTATCGTGTTTGGTAGGGGCGAAGAAATTACCTGTCAACAAAAATCAATCACATTAATCAATAATTAGACATAACATCCATCATATTGCTTTTATTGACCTCATCATATTACGTCTTCTAATTTTCAATTAAACACCTACTAATTTATCATTCATTAATATTTTTGGGGTTATTTTTACAATAAAAAGTAAAAGTGGACGATTCACATAAAGGTATCAATTGGAATGGTTTCAAACAGTTCATAATGCCTCATTTACCGTGCCGTGTAATATGTTCAATCTATTGAACACATTTGAGTTATTGACTGCATAAAAGGCTTAACTGCTGAAAAGTTTCCTTACCTGTGCCTAACAGTTGTCTGTAAATATCATACATTATTGTTCCAAAATCGGGGTCCATATTTTTGAAATCTTCTCTCGACATGTCGCGTAATCTGCTACCAGATAAATTTTGATAAGCTTCTCCTCTGAGTCTAGACCCATCAAACCCTTGAACATCAGCTACAAAATACACCCAGTCTAGGATTTCTGATTCTGTCCAGTTCTCTGGATGTTTAGTTGTCCAACTCAATAAACTGTCATTTAGTTCTGCAAATGCTGAAAAGTTAAAATACAAATTTCATGAAAAAATAATGGTTGCTCATAAAAAATCTAACTAAATTATATTTTACTTTAAAAACAAAAAGCGTTAATGTCGTTTCCAAAATTTATTAAACATAGATCTAATTTTACTTACATGACTTATTCTGTTTCATGGAATTCATTTTGTAAGAAGAATATTCGTCTGATATAGGGAAGGATTTGTATGCTGCAGTACAGCTGTTAGTTTGTTCCATTGGTTCCAATTTTACAACTGATTGTGAATCAACATTGTAATAACAACTAGATGATCGAGACGTATCGTAACTATATGTGGAGTTGTTTGTCTGAAACATTGAGAAAATATGCATGTTATCTCTGGAGCTCAAAAACAGCTCGAAATCGTCGTTTATTTCAACTTTACGGTAGTAGAAGTATACTACAGATGTCAACAGTAAAATTCACTATTTCCCACGTTAGTTATTGTATGGTATCATCATTAGAAATAATCAATATTACAACCTACTTTCTTATTGATTTTTAAACTATGTCAACTAGCGTCAAAACAGAATTTATCACGAGAGGAATGCCATTTCCTTTTCAACATAAGTCGTGAAGCAAAAATTAAAATAATAAACAATTTCAATGATATCAAAAAGGCAAGATCTTTTTTTTTCTCTTAAGACAGTACCTTAAAGATAATCTTAACCGACGTATTGGACAATAACATTCTATAAAAATACTGCCAATGAATAAATTCTATCTACCAAAATCAAGAATCAAGTTTTACTGGCATACTGTATTGAAAACAGGCCTTGCAGTGTGCAATATATATGTTTTATCAAGGGAAGGTGACCCTGCATCCCTGTCGAAGCAAATTTTCCATATCAAGTGCTATAAGCCAAATATATTCCTTGCATTGATGAAACATTGAACCGGCTTATGAAAGATCGAATACTCACGTGTTGTGTAGGGTAAGTAAGTGTTGCCATTTTAGGTTTGCAAGCGAGGTGATCTTCTTAATTCTTAAAAGAAAGAAAAGTCAATGATAATCATTGGTGCACTTGCACTTTCTAACCCGAATGTACTGAATATGCAACGAAGGTTACTCTTCTGCTTGACGTTATTGGATTTTTTCGAAATGATAACGGTTAGAAAATAAGGAGCATTGGTGTTATGTACAAAATCATAGGCTTTCATTTGATTAAAAAATTAATAAGGCAAAGTAAAATCAGTAATCCCAATGACATTTATGATGAAAAAGCAGACGATAAATTGCATACACAACTGATGACAAAATGACTGTAAAGTAACCGGTACGTCAATATACAATACCAGTGTAGTGACTCACCTTATATAAAGTTTCCTTATGTAATACACTATCTAGTCCTCAATGCTAGGCCTACTGCATATAATATTACATTAATATATTGTCACATACTCTTAAAACTCTTTATCATTAATATTTTGTATGAGTAGCTCAATGTATGATAAAGCCAATGTTGTCATCACGTGACTAGATACAATCGACCAATCAGAATTTAATTTAAGCCAGTACAAATTAGGGGGTTCCCCTTTTGTTTATCTAGGTCATATGCTAGTATTTGATTGGCTGAAATAATGTGACGTTTTGGCAAGTGCTTTTGTATTGATTTTTTTTTTCATTTCGACATACTACACAGACATGATTCTATTGATTGTTTTGCTTATCTTACTGAATGGCACCTTTGTAGGTCACACGAGATATATTTAGCTATTGTGTATTCAAGCTTCTCACGATTGCCTTAACAGGTCAATTTGGCGGAAAAACCCGAAAATGTACGGAAACACACGAAAGTGAACTAATGATATAATTATACATGTATTGGGTATCAAACCTTAACTCTGGTAAATTTTAGTGTAGACTACATAAAATCCTATTGAAAGCCAAGAGGTTTCTTATATTAGAGGTTGCATCCTTTTTGTCAGACCACATTCATCACTGTTTCTGTTGTAGGAAATGAAATAGATTCGGGCGAGAACAAATAGTTCTCTCTAAGCCTAGTTGTAAAAAGTGGAAAAGATCACGGCATAGAAGAAAGACGACGTCTTAAATTAGCCAACTATATAAAATCACGAATGCTTCCACTAAACGCCTTGAAAGAGCAGTATTGACGCTATGAAAAATAATCATCCTAGGTTTAAAAAAAAACGTAAACAATTTTCCGTATGAAATGTTGGGAAATGTTTTGTCCTGAAAATGAATATGATAACATTTTTGCTATCACTGGTTTAATACATAACCGTTGTATTATAGTATATTATAAAAGTACATTTATAAACTGCAATCGGTTCAAGGGGCTTTCGATTCATAGGTCGCGATCAGATCTTCGGGGTTCTCAATGTATTGCAGAACGGGAAAAACTTTGCAATGGATGGATGGACCACATTTGTGCTAACAATCGTGTTCATTCTCGTTAGCCAATGAATTAAAAAGGGTGGTAAATTTGTCGTCGCTGTTTTTTGGCACTGCACAATGTGTCTTAAAAATTATAATAATTTCTTTATTGAGTAATGTATAGCCTTTCTAGAATTGATCCAGTAGAAAAATACATAAATACAAATAATACATGTACAATGTAATAAAACTTACGTACATATTGTAATAAGCACGTTTTTTTTTATTAAACTGATAAGGTTCAAAATAGTATATTTACATAAAATCTTATCACTATGGCTCTCTCGATGCCTAGCTGTTTGGATTGGTGTAAATATGTTGAACTATGTATATAGATCATTCAGTGTTGCCTCTCTGGGTAGTATTTGTTGGTCTCATATCATTTCCATGATGGATTTATTAGAATACAATGATGTTGAATTCAGATCAATAATCAATTTCCCGGGCTGATATCAAGTATTTAATTTTATCAT